CCCCCCCCCCTTTCCACACTCCTATCAGTTTTAGTGGTAACCCAAATACAGGTAGAAAGGGAGAGCAAGAGTAGTGATAAGACATGTCAGAGTTGGCTTGCACTGGTAACTAGGTCTTAAACTATAACAATTTTTAAAAAACCTATCTTACTTTTTAAAATAGTTTGTAATTTTTTTTGTTTTTAATGACATTTACCCACAGAGCCGTCTCAATGTACCGGTAGCACCGGAAGTTGCCCGAGGCGCCATGTGCTTGGGGCGCCATTAACTATCTTCCATTGAAAAAAAATTGAAAATGCAATAAAACGATTTGGTGATCTCAAGGCTAGACAACATTAAATGTCATTGGTAGGCTAATTGTTTGCACAGTCCAAAAGAATGGTTAAGAAAAGAATGTCATAACCTATCGTTTGTTTTTTTTTTAAATTTTAATTAAAAGGGTGCCAAACTTAAGCTTTCCCAGGTCACCAGCAATCGTAGGGTCAGCCCTGGTTACCGAGAGACTAATGTGTGTTATGAACGATTAACTATCCTCTGTGTCCTGTAACGAATGATGTGAATATTTAAAAAAATTAATCAAATTTAAAAAAAAATGAATATATAAAGTTAAAGATGTTTAGCAAGAACCATATCATTTGAATGTATAGTTGGAGGAAACAAATATTTAGCAGTCATAGGGAAATGGTATCTCTTTTTTTTCTTCTTTTTTTCTCTTTAAATTTGGTTTAATTTAACAGATTTAGCACATAAAACCAGACATAGACGTTACATTAAAATAAATACATTGAAAGGGCATGAAGAGTAGTCAATTACCTTAAATAATTACATCAAATAAGGCTTTCATTTCTCCAAGGCGAAAGTGAAACGTAATAGTGTGTACTAATTTATTATTATTACTATTTCATTCACAATACGCTGAAATACCTTTTATGAAATGACCATTAGTGTAATTGTAATAATAATAGTATATTAAAAGCTATTTAGACATGAGCAAGTCCATTTCATGAAAGTCGATGTTATATTTTACCTATTGATTCTAACTTCAAGGGCTCCTTAGACAAGTACTATTTTTATTTTCATGAATTGCGAAATACATTTAATATCTCATCACAGGTCAAAAACTGATACTTTCATGAGGTTTCATAAGCACAACCATGTCACCTCTGATTTAAAGTATGTTTACGTTTTCTAAGCTATCAATGATTTCGAAATAGTTGATTGCTTGGAAAATCCAAAAGTAGTGCACGAAAATAAAAAAATTGAAAAAAACACTAAAAATAAAACCAACAGAAAAAGAAAGTTCAGCTTTTCAAAAGGTGTACTATGAGTAATTACCCAATTATGAAAGGGTTGAGATGCAAATCAAGAAAATAACAACCAAAAAAAAATAATATTAAATAAATAAATGAATTCCAATGTCAGATCTTCAAAAGACTAGTTGTACTTATTTGTTTTGATTAGTTGTGTATTTTTTTATGTGTGTTTGCATGTGAGAGAGAGGGAGAGAGAGATATAGAGAGACAGAGAGATAAATAGAAAGAGAGAGGATTAACATATATATCGATATATATAGATATATATATCTGTATAACAAAATGTATACGTAAATATTGTTAGAGAGGGGAAGATAGAGGGAGAGAGAGAGAAAGAGAGGGGAAGATAGAGAGAAATAGAGAGAAGGAGAGGGGGAGATAAAGAGAGACATAAAGAGAGAGCGCGCCAAATAGAGACAGTGGTAGAGAGAGATAAATCGAAGATAGAGAGATAGAGAGAGAGAGGGGGAGAGAGAAAGTGGGAGAGAAGGGGAGGAAGAAAGGGAGAGATACATATACATGTATATAGAGTTAGATTTAAATTATTTTACATTTTTCTATCTCGAACCTATACGTAACTAATAATATTTTTCGCTCCAAGTCACGCAAAGGGAATGGCTCTCAGAGGCTATTTGTCTTAAATTCAAAGACAAACGTATACTTCTAAATTGAAGACGGAAGAGCTGATGGCTTGATTCATCGTGACATTTTTTAAAAACATTTTACATTTTTTTAGAAACATGTTAAAATCTGTTGTTATGAACCTTAACCATTTTATTTTTGTAAAATATATTGTCTGGTTCATTGAGAAGCCATTTCGAAATGTGTCTTGTGTCTTCTTAAATCAAATTTATTGTGAATAAGGTGGCATGATATTTTTATAATCGTTTATAAAAAAAAATCTTTACAACTTGCGAAACAAGAGTAATTTTTTGAAATTTAAAAAAAAAATAAAAAATTGTTAAGATCAAAATTTTTGCATACGCATACCCAAAGAGGCGCATATTGTATTATTCAACAAAGTTGATAGCATTTGATACTCACTTCTTACTCTCTCACTCTCCTCTTCGCACACTCCTTGTTATAATAAATGTATATGTGATTTTATAAAAAGAACTGTTGTTTTTTTTTACAATTAACATTAATTATTCTACAACGTTAATAGAATTTAATCCTCTCATTTATTTAAAATAATATATAAGTATATGATAATTTTTGCATTTAAACATCACTATATTACACTATAGATAGTAAAAACAGATAAGAAAAAAATATAAACATATATTTATCGAAAAGAAAAGACCAAAAAAAAAGAACTAAACAGAATACCTCCCCTCTGAGTCTCTCTGTACTCCTCACCTCTCCCTCTGTCCCTATTCTCTTCCCCCATCCCTTGTTATAATGAATGTCTAGTCTACGGGATTTTAAAAAGAATTGTTGTTGGTGTTTTTTTTGTTTGTTTTTTTTACAATTAAATGTACACACAATACTTTTGAACTCGAACATTTTACCACATATCTTAAACAAAACTACAGATATACATATTTTGTGAGCTTTTAATGAACAGTTTAATGAACAATTGATATTTAAACTATCTTGTAAGTTAGTATATGTGAATTTCTTGGGGTGACAATGAAACTGGCACACTTTCAAATTGCGTGGATGTTATTCGTGTGTCTAGGTTGGTAAACCTCGTCAAAGTATTGTCTTTCCAAACATGGCATAATTTAAATTTTTAAATAAATGAATAATAAAAAAAATTACAAATACGTACATTTTTGTAAGTAAAACCTATCTCACAAACGTATTTTAATGAATGTATTTACAAATAATAATTATTATTATACATTATTTCAAGTGTATACATCAATATAAACGATACATTTTGAAACTTACCGTGTAATAGTTACGTTCATGGTAAGTGAATCTTTTCTGGATCTTAAGTTTAGTTATTGAATTATATTTTGAGAAAGTTAAAAAAATGGTAGTAAAGTCACTAGAGGGTAGAGACCCAAATGGGAGTTATCTTCACAAAGAGGAAATACCACATGGTTAAAAAAAAAACAATTATACAGATCTGATATCTTTTGCTAGTGTCGGTTATATTTCGCCTTGGGAAGTGAAGATCTGACTCCCCAAAGGCTCTGTACGACTGTTCTAGAGTAACATTCATACAATAGAGGGACTACCACTGACACCCTAGAACTACACGAGAAACATAACTACCCTTGCGTTAGTCTGCACGTTTCGACCAAGGGCATGCATAGAATGTGCTGAAACCTTGGCAGCTACTGTGATAACTCAAATCTTTGCCAACTGCGATCATGTCTGCTGTTAAAAGAATGGTTAGAAAAAGGGTAGAAATCATGATTATTAATATGTGTCTGATGATGGATATTAGGCATGCGTTTAGTAGTTTCAGCCAAATGCTGATAATTGTATATTCTCAGCCATTCAGGAGACTGTTCCTATGCAACTTTTTCGACCCAGCCGCTTAGTGAAATACTTGTGAGGTAGAGACCCAATGTAGAAAAAGAGTATTAGAATGCATCTGATGACTTTCTCGGATGGGCAGGAAGATAACTTAGAAAGTAACATTACTATCAACAACAACTGGGAATTTCGGAATCAACCGACCGAATGCTCTTAGGCTTATATTGCCCCCTTAAGGCAAGGCAATGGATTGCAGTTATGGACGGGATATTTTCTTGCAGGAGCTTCGCGGTCAACATTTTTTTAGCTCTTTTCGGGATTAAAGGAGGGGAGGGGGTGAAGAATGCTTTGGAAAGAGCGTCGATCACTTTTAAAGCTCGACAGCTTGCTGACGCCATGTTCTGATGAACATATTGAGTAGCTTTAGTTTGAGCGGTGCTTTCTTTAAAGTGAAGGGAAGTTTCTCAATTCCTTAGCCTAACTCTGTCGTCCTTGCATACTAATCCAGTCGCATAACTTAGTCAAGATGACTGGACATAGACCGGAATCCAGTGGATGACCAGGGGCGTTTCTTATGTGTTTCATTTTGTCTTTGCGCATTTAGGATTTAAAATAATACGATATTGTAAAAATTTTCTATTTTTAAATAAGAGTGGCGTAAGAGGTGATATCAGGAAAAAGGGAGAGGTCGACACCATGAGTTCTATGCAAATATTGACACGAACCCAAACGACCACACTGATTTCGAAAGTAGTTAATTTTTTGATAGATGACTTATTTCACTGATATAAAAATGAAGGTCTTTATTAAGAAAACGTAGACTTATTTCTATCGGCATAAACCGTCAATGTGCTTGAATCAATCTCAAATATCAGCTAGTGTTTTCAGTTATGCGTGGAGGCTGAAGGAATAAATCAAAGCAAGTAATGCAATGTTATGTTTGTCCCGCGTGCTTTGTCCTAAATTATATCTATAAAATGATAACGCTTAGCAAGTAAGCCAATTTCAACTATCCGCAGAGGCGTTGCATTAAGACATATGATTGACTTGTAATCTTTTTCAGAAAAAGGGAATATTACGTCTTGCTAAATAAGTATATGATATTTGACAAAAATTAATGAACCATAAAAAAAAATAAAACATAACAAATCAATAAAAAATTATGATAGCACAAGATGAAGATTCTTTGCAAAGCAAAAAAAAAACAAAAAAACAAAACAAACAAACAAAATACAAACAAACAAAAACAAAACAAACAAAAAACTCACAGATTAGGGATGTGTGAATCTTTCAAGAAAAACATGGATTTTATCTGTTGTTTCATAACTTGATCAAAGCATTAAAAAAAGCAGCACAAAGGAACCCCAACAAAGCCCATCATTAGATTGTTTAAAAAAAAGACGAATTATATTTTTACATATCTGATGAACACATTTTTAAGGTAGGAAATCAAATATGAACGTTCTTGGAAATACTGTCATACCTACACTGATACTGGTGGTGTCCGCCCCTGAACTGTAGTGGAAAAACAACAACAACGTTATTGGTGGAGAGTTCCTTTTTTTAAAAAAAATTCACAATAATCATCACAGATTAGTTTTCCCAGTGGATATTTTAAACACATACAGCACAGATAAAAACGGTTTGGCATAGTCAATGTGTAGAGATGGGTGGTGCACTTAGTGTTGGTGTCAAAAATGAAGTCAATACAATGTATCCTTATCCAAATAATAATTATATTGATTGTTCACACATCAGGTAAGCCATCATGTGGTGTCCTTAGATAATCAAAGCTCTAGCCATTCGATCGTAACACTTCTTAAGTATTTATGAATGTTGGATCTAATGCTTTGTTATTATCAAATGAACATCAACAAATTCTTTTTTTTTTAAAATTAAATTTTAATAATGTATGTATCTAGTTCGTCGTTTAAAGTCTAAAAATACTTGCCTTAATCATGATATAGGCTAAAATAACAGTGGTGCGTACATGGCTGATAAGAACCATGTTATATATATATATATATATATATATATTACTTATTTTTAATGAGTCTCCAACACTCATTTGAAAGAACAAAAATAAATTTTAAGATAAGTGACTGGAATTATAATATTTGCAATTAAAACAGAATCAATCTAACCAATTACATCCCAATTATATTGTTACTTACACATACCTGAAAATAAAACTCAACACTGTTATCAGATTCATATCAACCGAAATTGCGGTTCAATTTCTGCACTAAATTGAACTGTCATGATTAGTCAGATCATTTGCAGAAATATGGTATTGATTGGGTAAAATTGCGGATCGTGTATAAGGGTATTAAGTACCCGAAACAAAACTAAAAACTTTATATTTTATTTTAAATTTCTTCCTTTAAAATTGTTGCGACATATTAATATTAGCATAAACAAATCCACATTTTACATACGTTAAATTATATGGCTAAATTTTTCTATCAAGTATTTTCAAAAAAAAAACTTTAAATTTAACAACAGCTCTCCCCCCTTGCTCCTTCAAACGTGGCATCGGGATCGTCATGACATGTGACGTCAGCCAACTAAACGTGACGTCACTCCAGTGGCTGGTGGGCGGGATGATGTCGGAGATGTACCCCTACCTCACGACCTGCGACCTGCACGGCTGTGACAAGCAGAGCTACGAGGGAACTCACACGTTTTTGGCCACTGTCCAGCTTGACCCTACCTCTACCCGTATCGTCAACAGCAGCTTGCGGCTGCCCGGGGATCCTTTCTTCAGTTACTTCGTCGGTGACTACAACTGTGTTCCTGATGGGGGACAGTCTATTAGGATATGTGATGACCTCAACTATTACGGTGAGGGAACGTGTTTCTAGTTTTGATACTATTTAAATATAACTATATGAAAAGAACTTGAATAAAGCCATATGTCTAAATAAATAGATATATAGAATCAGAGAGACGTGTGGAGTGTATGGGAGTAAAAATGCATGAGAGAGGGGGAGAGGGTGACAATCGTTAAGTTACTCTTTCTCATTTAATAAAAGAAATCCTTTAGTATTAACTTAATTGCCTGTTTAAATAACATAACTTAGTAAATGTCAAACTGTCAGTGGAAATTACAACGGGTATTGTTAAGGAAAATAAATAATTACAGGTTGTTTTTTTTTAAGTTCATTCTTAAAAAAATATATATTATTATTGATAATATAATAAATATAATTCTTACTTTAATATAATGAGACATTAAATGAATACATAATGGTTGACACTTATTTTTATAATGAAACATATGTTATAATCTTGTTTTTTTCTTCCAAGCTCTATTATTTTAATTTACAGTTCAAACTGTTCATTCCTATGTGTGTATATCTTAAAGATGACCCAACTCCTCCTGTATGTGGACCCCCGATAGTAGCAGATGAAGAAGTTAAACTCAGTTGTACAATTGATAATGTCTACCCTGATCCACAGTGCAGAATAAACATAGCATCAAATGTAAGGCGATCCTAATGTGACTCACACTTACACATTAACTTAGTATCATGTTCAAATAAGTTTATTTACGTATGTTATAATACATGTTTATAGCTATGCCTATATGTGTTTACTGTTTTTTGAATTAGCACTTTTCACTTATATGGAAGGAAAATATAATGGTCGAGGAATGGTTTTGAAAGAATATGCAAATATTTCTTTCTTTCAAAACAGATTGTATAACTATATTTTAACCCAAAAGCTAAGAAAGGTAGTCATCATATGTTTTAGATGAAAACTTAGAAAGACAATATTACCCGATTGTACAAAAAACCATAGTTTAGGATAAGGACAAGTGTTCTTGAACTGTTTTGTGATGTGATGAATAAATGCCATCTTAATACTAATACGCTAGTGATATATTTTTTCCCTATAGGCTAAAACAATAATACCTAATAGTTAATTAACAATAATGACTACTGGCTTTTATTATTTATATTTTGTATGGTGCTTTAAGGTTTTTAAGTTTTTCTTTGGCTTTTGTTGTGTTGTTTTGCATTCAATGTATTTTTTTCGGCAATATAGGAATGAAAAAAGGTTAATGGTATGGATAGAGAGCAAAAGTATTACATTACAATTAAAACTATAACTAGAAGAAAATAACTAAATTTTTAATGATGATTTTGAAGCAAGTGCAATACATTCTGCTAATAAGGGATACGTTCTATATGTGCAATTAAAAAAAAAAAAATTGTTGTAATAAAAAAATAAAACAAAATGAAACACGTTTTATTTTATTTTCTAGAACCTTCAAAGAACAATCACTTATAATTATTATAAATACCTTATTATAACTATTCTTTTTTTTTTAATCTCTTTAAAATAGAAAATTATTATTATTTTTTTTTTTTTTAAAAATTTTAAAATAGGGTAAAGTTAGAAATATCGCAACAGAAGTAGTTGTAGAAAGTTCCCAGATGGAAGATAATCCCGATTACATGAGCTTCTTAAAAAATAAAACAAAATGAAAAACGTTTTATTTTATTTTTTAAAACCTTTAAAGAACAATCACTTATAATTATTATAAATACCTTATTATAACTATTCTTTTTTTTTTAATCTCTTTAAAATAGAAAATTATTATTATTTTTTTTTTTTTTAAAAATTTTAAAATAGGGTCAAGTTAGAAATATCGCAACAGAAGTAGTTGTAGAAAGTTCCCAGATGGAAGATAATCCCGATTACATGAGCTTCTCTGCAGTCTGTAACGTATCGATTCCACTCAAGGACCTAGGAGTCGGCGATCACATGTTTCAATTGGTGGCCTCCGCTAACTTCAACGATACCGATCTAGCCCAAGTCTACAGCAATAACGTTTCGTTAATTATATCGAGTACGAAGCTAAAATTTAAAACATTTAACTGTTAATACGATTGTTGCAGAGTTTTAATTGAATGCCTAGTTGAATGTAGGCCTACCTATATTTAATTTTTTGTTTTCCTTTCTTTCAAATTACTATTTTATACTATATCATCACTTGTTAAATTACTAATTACACTAATTAAAAATTATCAACGCTAACACTAATAATTACACCATTAATCAGTCTTCATATAGATTTATATTTGATGCAATTTTATTAGTCATTGCAGTCGCTACATAATTAATAATACTAACAATATTTTTTTTTTTCGCTTTAGGAATTTTAATTTGCAAATTAAAATAATTTTTTTCTCAGCAAAAAAATAATATAATTTTAAAACCTCCATGCATTAATATACATATTAAGTAAACGACATTATTTTCACTCCCATTGAATAAAATATTGTCAACATGTCAATAGACGCGCCACAGAAGCCCAAGTGTATGTACCCGGTGATCAACACGACCAGTGAAGACATTGCTGTTGAGTGCTACACCAGTTACGTGCACCCGGCTCTGGAATGTGAAATGGAAGCGTATAAAAATGTACGCTATTTTATAGCATTTATTTACCTAAATAACATAACAGTTTCTTACCCACTATTTCCTGAAAATATTTCACACTGAAATGTAAAGAATTATTTGAAAACTTAAGTCATTTTAGTAAGCATTACTAAATTTGATTTTCCTCATACTTAAATAATATGATCTTACTTTGGTTTCCGTATTTAGCTAAAATGTATGTGTCTTCAATCATAAAACTATCATTTTTTTTCAACTTCAAACAATTGGGAAATAATTAATATAGAACTTGTGATTACTTATCTATATTTCTTCTATCTTCTAGAACATTCCGCTTGTCGTGCAGACAAATGTCTCGTACATTAACGATGTCGCCTTATATCAGGCTAAGAACATGTTTGTGTCCAAATGTTATTTCTCCATCCCACTTTCCCATATTGGCCCTGGCTCATTCAAGTTTATGGTCACCATGTACACCGATGATAACAACGCCACTGATATTAACCGAACACGCATTACGGGGGACTTGACTTCACCATTATTGCTGAGTAAGCTTCATTTTTTTTTTGTCAATGTCAAAAATGCTGAAAACAAAGGTAGCTTAAGAAAAGTGCTTGCTTGCTACTGAGTAAATAGATTCAATATGAATCCATGACGTACATGACTTCTTGGATCTTAATATGTATTATAAATCATTTTAAACAATTCTTTTTTCTTTTAAATGTAAAAGCAAATTCTTTCTTGTTTAATGTTACATTTCAATTTAGTTTTAATTTTTTTTTTTTTTTAAATATATGTTAGCTCTATATTTCTGTTGTTTACTAATAATTTTGATGAAGCGACAACGATATTTTGTAAGTGTTTTGTTCAGAAAGGCTTTCTCTTATCATGCTCTATTAATTTAATTTATCCTTCGATTAATAGTTTGATTTTACCACAATTTCAATTTTCTCTAACATTGAACAGACCTGTATGAGCTTTAGTTAATTTGGGGTAGTTTGAATCGTACATTTTAAAAAAAAAATCTTTTTTTTTTGCAAAGCGTCCAGTTAAACCGATTCAGAGTTATCTTTTTTTTGTGCATAAAAACATATCATCTATATTTTAAATTTAAAAAAAAAAGGAAAATACAAAAACATTTTAGTAGATCAGGGCAGGATGTGAGTTTTTATAAAGAGGCTAAACCTTTGGAATAAAATTGAATGATGCTCATAAAATAAGTGAGTTCAGTATGATATTTGCTAGATAATCAAACGTTTAATCGGGTCAGAGAATGAGTTAGCTTTAGTATTCTCCTTGGGCGAGCCAATCCATTTACCGCCCTCTTCTAGGATACAATCGCCACAAATACCAAAAAGGTCACAAGAATTTAGGTGAACGCTGGGGAGGTCGGTCCTACGCACGAAACTACCTACGCCACTGAATGGAGTAAAATACTTTTTGGCTAAAAACATACTATGATAACGATCACTTACATTTTAAACTGATTTTGTCTTTTTTTTTTTTCCCAAACAGAAAATCCAGAGCTAAAAGATTTAAGCAAACTTTGCCCGCTACAGGTCAACGCCATACCCCGACCAAAGTGGACCAGTTGCGCATGTCTGCTGGGCGAGGTAGGCAATCCTCCAGGCAGTGTGGCATGGCGCTCGAGTGACGGGATGTCGTTTAAGGACAGCACGGTGTGGGCGTTTTTTGATGACTTCAGTAAGGAGCGGACCTATTCCTTTATTGTCAACGTCATTGGCAATAGACTATTCTTAAACGCAGTCATATTAAGAGATGCATTAATATTAGACTTTGACACAGTTAACATAGTATATGCTGCAATCTGTTTATTCTTGCATTACACAACTACCATGTTCGAGAGTAACACAATTTAGAATTAAATTGGTTTAATTGGCGACACGTTTGTCTTCATAGTAATTTTATATATGCTTATATTTAATTATTTTATTAACAATTATTATTTTAGACCAACACTAGTAATATATATATATATATATAGATAGATATATAGATAGAGAGACAGAGAGAGAGAGAGAGAAAATGAGAGCCAGAATGTGAGAGAGATAGTGGGAGATAGATACATAGATTAATAGATATAGATAGATAGTCAAAGATAGTTGAATTAGAATAATGCCAAGAGAAAACAAGATGCTTATAATAAGGGAATAAATGTTGTTTTTATTTTTATGTAATGATATTGAGATCGTTTCGAGTTTAAGTAAATTAAGTTCAAATACGTTCATCAGCACGCTAAATGATGATCTTTAAAAAAAAAAATGTGTTCTAAATATTGAAAATTAAAAAAAAAAGTTTATTTTTTATTATTTAGTAGCTTAATTCAATATGATTCATCGCATAGGCATTCATTTATGAAATTCTATTTAATATAAAATGCATCCTCAACAGAAGCTAATCGAACGTTTACATGCAAGCCACAGACTCCAATTACCGACGACTTGCCTGGATTCACATGGGCTCCTGCTTGGCAAGGTTCATTATTGTATCTGCCTTGATCTTAACTTTAATCTTATAATCTAACTTTAATAAATATAACTTTTTATATATATAAATGTTACAAAGATCTAAATTTCATAACACCAATAGAGGGCTTAAACGATATAAACGACAATTTCAAAGTAGAATCAAAAGACAAATTTTCTTTAATTGATTGCAGATCCTCCCGTCATAGCAAGGTTTACCGCGAATGGCAAAGAACAACAGCTTCAAACCGACTTGAACGTGAGCGTCACCTTGGATTGCCAACCTGGAGGCACGCCCTTGCTTAAGGTAGTCATAATTAAAGGGGACTCGGACATTCCCCTTCCCTCTAACGGTACATCCGTTTTAATCGAGATTAGAGAATGCACGGACACTGCAAGCTACACGTGCCGGGCGTTGAATACGTCAGGGACAGCTGTGGATTCAAGAACATTGGACATCTTGGTCAAGTGTAAGTTTTTTTGTTTTTCTTTTACTTTTAAATACCCCCCCCCCTCTGGCTCTGCACGTATATGTTAGAAGGAGTTTATAAAATGTATTAAATGTATGTTAGAAAATTTTAAGAAAGTAAAATATTTGTCTGTGCTTATTTTTTGTTTTCTTTTGTTTATTTTTGTTTTTTCTCTTCTGCTGTTTAATGTCGTCATGAACGTAACATTCTAGACCGTGGCCAACTTTTAAGGGATACTGATTATTCTAATTGTATTTATTTATGTGTACATTTTCAATCTGTGTCAATGTTTCATCACTGGGCATTACAAATGTTTCGTGTACCTTGAAATAAAAATAGGTTTCCCACAATATATTTATATACATATTTATATATATATATATATATATATAATTCGTAAAAATGGTTTCATCTTTTTTGAGAGAGAGATTTATACAGATATAGATATATAGATATGTATAAAATACTGCGACGCCAATGGTGCGAAGCCTTATCGATACTAGTTTATCCCTTGGGTTCACCACTTGCGTGGAGAGGGGGGACCTGCTGTTTGGGCAGCAGCTCATTCTCCATACTACTTCGCCCAGGCTTTATCTTCAATGGAGAGGACACTCAAGCATCGCCGAATGGTGTGAACACAACACGGGAGGCAGCGGTTTTCCGCTTTTAAGCCATAGCTAATCGGCGTAGAGCTAGGCGCCAGGTGCTGCTTCTGACGGTGGAAGAGATCGCTATGTCTCACTGGGTGCAGAACATCTCAACAAGTAGGCCACAAAAACATGCACCTAGAAATAAGAACACAAAAGAAAAGAAGACCCCAGCTCTTCGACTAGCAAGCTGGAACGTGAGGACAATGTTCCCGGGCATTACTGCCGACCTTCAGCTCATAAACGATGCAAGGAAGACAGATATCATTGATAGAGAGCATAATACATTGATATTGCCTGTCTCCAGGAAACTAGGCTCCCTAAATTTGGTACCATAAGAAAACACAACTACACTTTCTTCTGGCAGGGTGGACCAATGGACGCACCAAGACAACATGGGATTAGTTTTGCTATTAAAAATAAACTCTGCTCCTCCATGGAACCACTGACACAGGGCACAAATAGAATACTAACTATCCGACTATCAACATCTTCAGGTTTAGTCAACATCCTCAGTGCTTATGCCCCAACCCTTTCCTCCAGTTCAGAAGCCAAAGACCAGTTCTACGAAGATCTTAATCAAACAATAGCCAGCATACACAACAACGAAGCAATTTACCTTTTGGATGACTTCAATGCAAGAGTAGGAAGCGATCACATGGCCTGGCAAACATGCCTCGGTCATTTTGGAAGAGGCAGGCTAGATGAAAATGATTAAAACAGAGTAGGGTTAAACCTGAATAAATAAACGCAACAAAACAGCGAACGTGTCGGCAGAAAGCCTTCGTCAGCGAACAAAACAATAGAAAAAACGGTATAAAAATAAAAATAAGAAATAGCACATAGCTTGTAAGTAGTATCTGTGGGCAGCAATAGAAGTGTGGCAGCCACACAACATGGGATTGGTTTTGCTATTAAAAACACACTCTGCTCCTCCATGGAACCACCGCCACACTTCTATTGCTGGCAACAGACACTACTTACCAGCTAAGTGCTATTTCTTATTTTTTAATACCGTTTTTTTCAGTTGTTTTGTTCGCTGACGAAGGCTTTCTGCTGACACGTTCGCTGTTTTGTTGCGTTTATTTTTTCAGGTTAAACCCTACTCTGTTTTAATCATTTTATTTTGTACTAACCTGATTGCAGTCTCTCCCCTTATTACCCCTAAATGAAAATGGGCAGAGACAATTGGAACTGTGCTGACTACATGGACTAAGTGTAACTAACACCTACTTCAACTGTAAGGCTATCTACCAAGTGTCATGGAGGCATCCCCGTTTTAAACACTGGAACCAGTTAGATCTCATAATCACAAGACGCACACAACAGGCAAGTGCCCTCCTCACACGCAGCTACACACAGCGCAGACTGCGACACTGATCATTCCTTATTGGCTATCAACATAAGGCTACAGCCAAAGAAACTGTATCTATCTAAAAACAAGAATAAACCACGCATAAACCTCTGCTCCACCAAAAATCCAGAGAGATCGAAGTATACACCCATAGTCTACAAGAAGCTCTTGTACAAACGCCACCAATGGACAATATCGAGTCAAGATGGTCACATTTGCGGGAAACTATCTATAACTCGGCTATCACGGCATTTGGAAAGAGAGAACGCAAAGGTGCAGATTGGTTCGAGGCCCCTTGGCAGGAAATGAAACATGTCACCGATGCAAAATAAAGGCCCTCTTAGCTTATAAAGACATACCTTGCCCAGCAACTCTACAATCGCTTAAACACGCCAAGACAAATTCCCAGCAGGCATCTCGTCACTACGCTAACACATACTGGCTCAATCTAAGCTCCAGCATACAATCAGCTGCTGATAGAGGTGATGCAAAGTCAATGTACGAGAATATAAAGCAAGCAAATGGCCCTCTGATCTCCAAGACTGCGCCCTTAATGTCCAAATCAGGGGAAATTCTTACTGATTGAGATAAACAACTTAATTGGTGGATAGAGCACTACTTGGAAATATACGCAACGATCAAAAAGGTCTCAACCGCTGCCCTGGACGATATCCCAGACTTACCTGTCATGGAGGAGCTTGATACACTAACCCCCATAGAAGAGCTGCGTAGAGCCATCGATTGTCTCGCCAGTGGGAAAGCCCCGGGCAATGATGGAATCCCACCATAAGCTCTCAAATGTGGAAAAGGAGTACTATTACGGCCCTTGCACGATCTCCTTACTCTGTGCTGGGAACAGGGACAGCTACACTAAGAGTTGAAAGATGCAATAAAGAAGACAAGAGTGACTGCAACAACTATCGTGGAATCTCCCTCCTCAGCATAGTTGGAAAGCCTTTCGCCAGAGTTGCATTAACACGCCTACAGACTTCGCGTGTACTCCCAGAATCGCAATGTGCTTTTTGCGCCGGTAGGTTAACCATAGACATGATTTTCTCTCTCCGCCAGCTTCAGGAGAAGTGCAGGGAGCAACATATGCCTTTATACATTGCGTTTGGTGACCTCACTAAGGCTTTTGATCTTGTCAGCAGAAGCTGCCTGTTTCAGATCCTCAAAAAGATAGGCTGCCCTAAGATCCTCAAAAAGATATGGTGCCCTACAAGACTGCTTAACATCATCAAGCTGTTCTAAGAAAACATGCAGGGCACAGTGTGCCATAACGGTGCCGCCTCAGAAGCTTTTCCAGTGAGTAGTGGAGTAAAGCAAGGTTGCGTGCTGCTCCTACTTTATTTGCAATCCTTTTCTCAATCCTACTCCAGTATGCCTTTAAGAACAAGAGCGAGGGGATACACATCCACACTAGAGATGACGGCAAATTATTCAACATTGCCCGCCTTAGATCTAAGACTAAAACAAGAAAGGTCTTGCTGCGAGAGTTCTTGTTTGCGGACGATGCCGCTTTGGTATCTCACACAGCTGACGGCCTGCAGAGCCTCGTATCCAGCCTAACCGCTGCCTGCAAAGAGTTTGGCCTGACAATTAGCCTAAAGAAAACTAACATTATGGCACACTGCGCTGACTCCCTCCCCACTATCTCTATCGACGACTACGACTTTGATGCTGTTGACTGCTTCACATATCTGGGATCAAACATTTCAAGCACTCTCTCAATGGAGAATGAGATAAGTTGAAGCATAGGGAAGGCCGCAACTGTTATGGCCAGACTGAAGAAAAGAGTCTGGTCAAACGCCAAACTAACAACAAGAACTAAGCTGCAGGTGTACCAGGCCTGCGTACTGAGCACACTCCTATATGGATGCGAGTCGTGGACCACATACTCTAAACACTAAAGAAGGCTCAATGGCTTCCCCCTCAGATGCCTGCGCCACATCCTTGACATTAAATGGCAAGACAAATTCCTCAACATGGATGTACTATCCCAAACAAACATGTGTAGCGTCCCAGCCATGTTAATCCAAAGGCGCCTCCACTGGCTTTGACACGTCAAGCGAATGCAACCTGGTCGCATACCAAAGGACGTGCTGTACTGCGAGCTGGCGACAGGGAAAAGGTCAGTTGGACGGCCTCGTCTGAGATACTATGACATATGCACAAGAGGCATGAAGTCGGCCAACATCGACATCTCAAACTGGGAGGAGCTGGCAGAGGATCGATCCTCATGGTGGGACATTGTGAAGGCAGGATCACTACATGCCGAGGATCAAAACAGGGCAAAACATAGCTGCAAAAAGAGCGAGGAGGAAGGCCGGTAAATACTGCTCCACCGCATTCGTGTGTGGGAAATGTAACAGAGACTGCCATTCGAGGAACGGTCTCACCAGCCACACCAAGAGCTGCAAGCAATAAAGATATCTATCGTCTCCCGCAGACGGAAAAATGCCATACATACAATATATAATACTTTAATAACTTCCAGTGGAATCTTTCATTTCAGGCCCTATGCAGCTGGTCGACAAGAATGTATTACCCATCACAGTGAAATCAAAATCCAAAATAAATGTTGACATACCTTTACAACTATTAGGCTATCCTAAGCCCACGACCTTCTTACTCGTACGCAACATACACAACAGAAGTGAAGACTTGATGTATTGGCACGATTTCGATGTCGAGTATAACGTGACGAGGAGACATATCATGTATCTTGTCCTCACTGTCAGAAGTGTCTTGAACACAGCAAACTACACGTTCACCGTGGGCAATGGCGTGGGTCAATTCTTAGATGTGGATTTTTCTATTACGATCACTGGTAGGTGGTATTTCAGGCTTAACGTTTTAAAAGGATAAGAAATTAAATTTCATCAACTGAACGCATGCAAAATTGAATTCTTCTTCTTCTATATCGTAAGGGCCCACGACCAATTTATTGATCATTTTGGCTGCTATGCATGTAGATGGGATTTGCAATGTTTCTGTTACTGGTGTTGATGAGGAAATCATGCACTAGGGGTTTGAACGCTTGAGGCAATAGACACAAATGTGTCTAGTGTTGTCGCCTCAACCGTTCCTTTTGAAAGATTGTTCCAGTCCCTGATTTTCTTGGGCAGGAATTAATTAATTATGATTAAAACATCAAATAAAACTCTAACTCCGGGTAAATGAGACCCCTAAATCTTGGAATGCAAATCAACTAGGAGAAGGAGAAACGTTGAATTCAAACCCGTAGATGGAGTCCCTTTGGTCCTGTTTAGACACAATATCAATAAAAATTGCCTGCAGTCTAAGTCATTCTTTTCATTTTCACTGAAGTCCATGACATTAGTTTAGAGATGGGATTTGCTGAGAAGGGATTAGGATTATTCGTCTAACTAATTTGAATGGTTTTGTGTTTTTGCATACGAACATTGCACTCTTAAACATCGTCCCACTGTGACGCACGAATTTCTAAAAAAATAAATTAAACATTTTTAATAAACAAATAACAAAAAATAAATTATCAAGGCTTGGACATTAATCATAAAAATTCTTTTTCTTGTATATTAAAAACCCTCAATTTAAATTGGAGTCTTAAGTAAAATGCAGGCATGACGATATGTCTTTTCTTTTTGATGGGTCAATGATGTTTTAAAATCTATCTTACAGAAGACGAATCTTCAGATGTAAATATTGGAGCTGTTGTGGGCGGTGTAGTAGGCGGTATTGTTGCAGTTATTTTTGTGGTGTTGTTTATTTATTGGGCACATCGACAAAGGAAGAATGGAAGGTAAATAAATTAGATTAAAATTATATACTTTTAAAAATGTCTTTTTTTAATTTCCTGGTAATTTTTAAAAATAATAAAATCTCCTTAAGGTCCCCATTCATTAATACTTGAAGGAATGCATTCAGACAGTGTAAAAGAAATAATAGAACTAGATGTGTAGAAGCTTACAAATTGATAAAAAAAACAATGAACATTCAGGATAAACGCCACCATGACAATCACACAAATAAACAAATAATTCCTTCAAAAATTTATTATGATTTTAAAAAACAAAACTTCTTGTAAGTTCTTGGGACCATGGGCGTTTTTAAAATTTATTTAATTTTTTTTTTTTTAAACGGCCATTCGTTATATATGTCCGTCAAAGACAAGTAAAGCCATTGAAATTATGTTCAATTTCATTTTTTAATGCTTACGATTACATCTGGCCAAAACATTTACTTAATTGATTGTTTGTTGGTTTTTTTTTTTTGATTTATTTTTGTTGCAATCTTCTACCTTTTCATTAGCTTTATTTAAATAAATTTTATATTGATAGATTACAATTTGAAAAATGTTATGTCACACTGTAAGCAATTTAATAGAATCAAAACACAGGAGAATTTATCATGAGACATGACACTTTTGCGCATTTTATTATATGCACATTTTAAAAAAAAACATTACTCTTCAGTATGGCTACCCGTCATAATACTTCGTCTTGCTCTGTGTGTTTAGAGAACTAAGAATAAATTTATTTATTAGTGCTTTGGGCAACTTTCGTGTTGGTGGAGTTGACGGCGTGCAATTTTTACACCTACTACCATTCCGTTGAGAGGCAAAAATATATTTTATAGCACTAACAGGTCCATAAATAGCTGTACATGGTTAAAACCATTACGAAAAATGTTACAAACTATTTAGCGTAATGTTTTAGTTGAGCTCGAAATAACCCACTAGAGGAAGGCGTCCGCATTGCGTCACAGCGAGAATTTCCCTTTTAAACCAAAGTTGCACTTGTAGCATGCATTCAAGTAATGCACGTTATAGGAATACCAAATAGTGCTAACTTCTTGGAACTTTCTTATGCTCGTCTGTTTTGTGCTACTATTAAACCCACAGTCACAGCCAGATACATGCCAACATATTCTTTCGTGCGATGCTTGTGTTTTAAGGATACATTTTCAAAAATTATGTCACATATAAATATCCTTACTTCCTCAACAGATCCAACCAAGCTAACAACGAAGACGTTATTCATATCTCAAGGATACTGACCGACGAAAACAGGATAAATAATTGACTTTAATTCAGCTACATCAATGATATACATTTACTCGCATCAGGATAATTTTAGTTTTGGAAGGGGAAACTGCCGAACAGCCAGCTGTTGAATGTTGCTAATGGACTGAGCATTGCTGCTCGCGTATTCCTTGCTATTTTCATTAAAAAAAAAAAATGACAATTTTGTATCACCTTGTTCATTTCCAAAATGCACACTTTCAGAAAAGCGGTGTATCGCTACCCACACTAGATCCCAGGAGAAGTGTACTTTCTATCTTTTTACACGCATCTTTATACAAATAAGAATTTAAAAAAATAAAACAATGTTGTCATTAACTTTCCAAATATAAAGTTGGACGCACGCATACGTTTCATTTCTAGAAGAACATGTTATGTGGCGTAATTTTTACGATACAACTGATATTCTTACAACGGTCTACCAATTGCTGCTGTATGCTCACTTCATTTGGCAGTTGAAATGAAATTAGCGATACCTTCACGTGCATGTCTTTGCTACTTTCAAATAATATTATTCGGTGTTTTGGTTCCTAACCCTTTCAGTCACGTGACCGTTACAATTCTGAAGTTTTAGGGTCATTTATTTATACATTTTTAATACATTTTAGTGTGTATGTTTAAAAAAGTATATATATANTATATAGAAGATACGTTTTTTTTGTTGTGGTCCACCTTCTTGTTTATGGTTGCTTTAGCTGAGATATGCTATAAAGTATAGGGAGTTATAATATCAATTGAAGGTTCCCAAATTATTTCAACATTTTCAAGAAGCAAAGACACGATACATCTAAACCAGCGCTGCGCTAATACAAAAAATTAACGAATTAGTTTTTAATGAATATAATTAAAATGTGTACATTTAAATTAAAAAAATTATAATTTATTAAAATTGATGCCCTATTATTATAACATCTATGTTCCTCCCCTCGTTTACAAGCTAAGTTTTCCGACACTTCTCCAAGCTATGCTGTACCATTCTTCTTCCAACTATATCGCCACATTCACCCACCAGCTTGGTTTCCCATTCTTCAACAAGCTATATATCCCTCATTATTCTACTATCTATGTTATATCACCTGTCTACGTTTCCCATAAGTTTACAAGGGATTTTGCCATGACTCTTCAATCAGCTGTGTTGTTCCACTCCTCTACAAGTTATCTTTCCCCACTAATCTGCCATCTATTTTGCTACACTCTTCTACCACGTATGTTGTTCACGACTTTTACCTGTTATGTTCCTGATGCATTCATTTCTAATGCATTGTTAAAAGATGTAGAGAGTGACCATAAGACGCATCTTTTTGTTTTCAACATTACAACCCGCCATACCTTTTCAAACAACACTCTCCAATTTTGAATTTTTTCGAAACTTGGAGCAAAGATTTCGGCTGATACAAATTTTCCCAACACATAGTTTAACCCCCAAAAGTATGCATAAAATTCAAGAATTTCTTGCAAGACTAAATTTATTGGGATGTCAGAAAATGTTTTTTTCTCCCATTTATATATGTGCGAAAAACATACCTTTCCATCCTTGTTGACACTAGTTTCTTTTTGTAATTAGATACAAAAAGGTATTTATCAAAATATTTTCTGCTTAAACCTCATTTTATTAAGGTTGTCATTTTTTTAAAAATAATTAAAACAAACATACATAGAAAAGCGTGGGCGTATTTTGTTTTGATGCTTTTTGTAGAATTTTGATGTGTGTATCTTCCTTTAATGAATCCACAGTGTTTTTAAGGTATTTTTATCTTGTACAATTAGTATTATTATGTTATATACAAAATTAACCCATTATGTAAAAAAGGAGATTGTCTTCAAAATATATATATATATTTAAAATGATTTTGAAAAATAAAATGTAATGTTATTTTTCTTTTTTTTTTAATACAGATACATTTTATAAAATTGTTTGTGTTGCTAAATTTGTTATTCATTTACACAAGTGTTTGAATACATTTTTCTAATGATATATATTTTTTTTAAATCTAACTTCCATGCTTAACTATCTCAGGATTCATCACGCTTTTCTGGTTAGCAGCAAGATGGCTGACTTGTTTGTTTAAAAGTCTACTAAAAAAAACGTTGAGGCATTTTATAATTTCACTATCAGCGGCTTTCCACAAAGTTAGAGTAAGAAAAGGAGAGCAGAGAAGAACAGCAATGTCCGGTCCCTGTGAAAAGTGGTGTCTGATTTTTAATGGGCAACAGCTGGTTTATGAACCAGGTGAGGTAAAAATGTATCTTAAAGCAACGGGTCCCAATAATGTATGTATAGATATCTATAAGCTATACTATATTAGATGATCAAAACGAAATAATGATAAAATTTTAAAATAATAATTAATTTCGATACGATCTTCCTTTGTGGGTAGGGCCTCCTCTACTTTAGGATGAGAAAGATGGCAATCGAAACCTATTAGCTAAAAAAAACGCCCTGGTGTCTCCATTTATTTTGCATTAAAGGGCTATCTTACAAATTTATAAAGAACTCACTGTCGAAGTTACTTCCAAGTGGACCACGTCAGCTGACAGATACTAATAAGTATTTGTGATTATTATCCAACGACGCTTCAGATGGTAATTTCGGGGTAGATGTGTGGAATATAAAAAAAGAGAAATTTAGCAACTACCGACTGAACATCAGCAAAGAGTTGGGAACTTTACTGTACCCCTTTTCACTTCAGCGGAACGTAAGTCAATCAAACTTAGTATGTGCATTGAAATATCGTGTGGCCTGAAATGAGTATGTGAACTAAGGCGTGTAGTTGATATATATCAGACAGTTAAGTGAAAACTTAATTGATTAATACAGAAAAATTAATCATCTATTTTTTTTATGTCAACTATTTGATACACTTTTTGTTTACTTTCTTTTTATTTTAAAATCCGTTATTTAAAAGTGTCATTTACATGAAATAAAAATGACTTCTAATTTCAGCAATATTTTAAAATTATTTTTTACTACTTTATGTTCTATTGTTTTTTATGTTTGTTTGTGGCGAGTCATAGTTGCAAATTTCATTAACATCACACTGTCTACATTTTAAGAATTATGTTATTTTAAATGATTACACTTCATAAATGCCTTTCCCAATTTTGACTTTGTCATATTAAACCAAAGACACACCACACACCAAAAAGGTCATAACAAAATAACGGGATTAATTTCAAACGATTTTTAACAACGCGTGAATGTGATAAAAGTGAATGTAAAAATAGTAATAATAATAATACTAAATAAATAAACCAATACCTATTAATTGACACAGAAATAATCTTGCCATCAAAGTAAAGATAGTAATTTTGGGCTAAAGAGAACAATGAATAGACTATCACAATCGTTAAAAGATAAAAAAAAGACAATGATATTATTAGTGTTATCTGAAAATTATAAGTGCAGATAACATAGCGATATCAGTAAGCGTTGAACACATGGGAGGTAAAGTCAGTGTGTCATGGACTTTCTTTTTATTGTATATTTCTATAAACGTACGAAGGCAGCCAAACGTTTGGTGTGTATTTATAATGTGGGTTCTTACCACTAAGCCGGATACGTAAATGCCATGCTTTGTTTAAATTTCAAAACTATATGTTTGATTGTACTTGTATTGTTTCTGTTCAGTAGTGGAGGTAAGTTAAGTTTATTTGTTTTAAATTTTACTATAACAAAATGATCACATGCATAAATATGTATTATTATTTTGTGTTCGTTGTTATTGTGATTTTAACTGTTCATTGTGTATGTGTGAGATACACAGTGATGCTAGTTATCTAAATAACAAGTCGAATCAACTAGCAACGCTAACTGCCACTTCTACAAAAATGAAATGTTATGTTCCATTTTCCACACTATGCATGCTTTTTTAACGAAACAAATAAATCCTCCTTGGAACAATAATCATGTCAGTAACATCACAAGATATGCTTCTCCAACAATATGTATGATCATCTCTTAGACATTAGTTTTTTTAAAAATGCTTTCGCATTTACCTTATTCGATATGTATGCACTCGTCTCTTCACTTGAAAATCATGAAATATTACCAGGCCAGTCAAATCAGTCACTTAACTCCTACTTTTCTCAGGTACTTTTCCGCTTAGCCCGCATTAAAAAATTACGAGTTTTGTGTACAAAAGCAACATTGCCATTATATTTTTTGATTTCTCTGCTAAATTGCATAGCAACTTGCATGTAATTTCTATGGTTATTTTAAACAAATTTTCCAGCACTTTGTAAGACATGCGAGATCGAGAAAAGTACTGACACTACCGTCCAATGCGACGTGTCCGATCTCAACACCACTTACATAGAATGGCGCGCCTACAACAACATAACCCACGACTCGTTGACTTTGTACACCTGCGAGATGACCAACTGCTCGACCGTCACGCCCTTGCTCAACAACACGTTGGAGGTGGTCATCAATGCAGACGGGGGCCGTGTGGTATTCAGTATTTTGGTCATCCCGAGAAAAGCCCTGTATTTCAATGAGTTCAGCGAGTACAGGTGCTTCGCCGATGTCAACGCTTCACTGGTTTGCGATACGCCAAATGTATACGGTAATAATTTTAAATAATAAGAGGCGCGATATTTTCTTGTATCTTTAGTTCAATAACATAACTTGGTAACACAATCTTTAAAAATGCAAAACAATCTACACCAGTTGTTTAAATCAAAGGTGCACACACTGGATAAACTAGTGCAAGGCAGTGTCAAAGACTTTGTTGACGGCATTTTAGTGTGATAAATATGTTTTTGAAATGAAATTGGATGAAGAATACGTTAAGAAATCGAAATAGGAAGCGACGCTGCAAATGACCCGTGGTCTACACTTGAATGTAAATTACCTTCTTATCTATTTGATTGCGTATATTGTACTATGCTTCAACTCAATGAATAACTATTCTTGCTCTGTCAGCTTTTGTTCTATGAGTTTATCGGGGGTTACCGGTTTATGTTCCAATAATTTGGTTTCCATGCATATAAAAATATATTATTTTTTCAGGTTTACTCACTGAATTATTTATTTTAGGCGGTCAACTGCAATGTGCGGACTCACAACATTTTTTTTCGGAAATTGACTAAAAACTCAATATATATTTATTTATCTTTAAGGCTAAGAGCTATTCAAAATTTTTATGTTAGACCTTGGTGAGACTCTTCAAAAAATGCAGCGAAATAAATGTATTTTAATTTTTTGAACATCAAGTTTATTTCTTTTCAAACAATATTTTAAAATGTCAATACTTTGAAATTTATAATTAGCAATTGCTTATAAAGAGAATGTTACGAAAAAATAAGTTTGATAATCACTGGCCTTACGTTACTTTAAACTCAATCAATTTGTTTTATAATATCTTAATATATAATTAAACATTGCAGAAAAAATAAATTAAAAAAGAAGCAATAAACAAAAAACAAAAACAAAAAAATTATAAGAAAACAAATTGATCAATGAAATGAGAAAAAAACAACGTAAGATTGTATTATTATTTTTTTAAAAATTGTTTTATGCCAACAGCTGATGTAATAGACCCAAGATGTGAGATGCCAACATTGACTGGTGAGGATGTTCAGATCAACTGCAGGGCGCTAACCCATTTTCTGCCATCAGTCTTCAACTTTACCATACTGACCAATGTAAATATCAAGTTTCACCCACAAGCAATGGCCATTTTTAAACATCACTCAACTATAATTTTGTTTAGAACAAAATATCTAGGACAAATAGATGTTTCTATGAACAACATTACTTTAAGTCTATGAAGGTCTTTTAATAGTAGTGCCATTCGTTCGCCCCAAATTACCGAGGCCGTTATGATGTATAAAGGGGCGCGGCTGATGTGGGTGTTTGCATGGCGTCTTTATCCCCCTGATGGCTTAAAAAATGTTGTTTTAAAAAAACAAAAACAATAATGCTCGCAGGGTTGCAAAGTTTGAACAACCCACAACCCACAACCCAGTCTGTCAAAAGTCTCCTCTGCCACGAGATATATAAATATCTGTATTACTTACTGGAGACATTCAATTTAAGAAAAGTATCGCACCGGCGGATAATCTTGTAACTAAGTTGTGATATTAGGTTTTCTCTTCAGACATTAAGCCGACGATGGTTGTATCATCAGCAAATTTAAGGTTTGGAACGGTGGTCCTTGGGTGCTGACAATCATTGGCATATTTTATACAGGACAGGATAGAAAGCAACATCTAGGTAATGTTATGGGTCATTCATCCTGACATATTAATTGGGTGAATTTTGTAAATGTTCAGTATGAAGGCTTGGGCGTTTGTTTTTACGCATAGCGAATAAAGCTTTTTAATCCTAAGTTGTCTTTTGATAGTGTCTCATGCTGATTAAAAGTATAGGTAAACAACCCTAGATTATTTTTAGGGCTTTTTAAGCAATGTTAAAGTATTGTCAGTTAAAATAAGACGGCATCTTTAGTACTTCGGGCTGTTTTAAAAACAAAATGAAAGAGGGCAATGTTTTTGCCGTACTTCATTAAAACAACAAAAAATGGAATTAGTGTTTCTTAAAACTGTTTTACAGTATTGGTATTTCGACAGGACAAAAAATTGTTACTGCAAGTCATTTTTTTTTTCTTTTTGAAATTTGTATAATTTCTGGTATTTAATATATTTGGTATAGTATGAGTTTCATAAGATCGCTTAAATTTGTTAAAGAACGTGTAAGAGAACTTTTCCGAGCAGCCCATTTGAATTTTCTGGCCCGGGGGCCTCGGCTGCATTTACGTGTTTAAACGCTTATGTTAAGCCAACAAAAATGGATCTTCCTGTGTAGTACCGTAATGATATCGTTAAATGAATTCATCATGTCATTATGACCATTTCTAAAATTATAACATTAACACTGTTAAGTGGAAAAAAAAAATTGAAGGAATTTACAAAATTATTCACATTCTCAAAACTTTTGATTTGATTTAAGGTGGTGCCTTACATGACAAACAAATAGTATACTTTTTAAATGGGGTAAGGCCGCTAGATTTAGCGGCGGAGGCCGCTAGATAGAAGGTTTACTTTTAAGAACAAACTTTAGGACATCGGTGTAGATTGGCCCCCTATCAAATATTTTATGCAATGCTGAAATGTTTAACAAATTTATAATTCATACTTTAACCTTATAATTAATTAATTTTATTTTTGTAGCTTTAAGCGGTAAGAAATTTTTACAGTGGAAGCTACGTTATAAAAAGGACCTGCTCTAGACCTCCAGTTGAAGCTCAGAGTCTCGCTCCACAATCATGTTTAAAACTATTTGATTCAATGATATTTACATGTTCATCATATACTTGTACCTTCAACACAATCTCTTTGTATCAAAAATAAAAATATTCACAGAACCAGTCACGCGATTTTTGGCACGCTGCACGAGACTACTACGACAAGTATTTCCCCCTGCAACTGGACGGTGAACTGTATTACACAGTTAACTTCACGCTGGACACAGATCTCGGTCTACTCGGGGCTGGACATCACGAGTTCATCCTGGAGGTCGACAAAGACGACTATTTAGGATCTGCTTATTTTAACGAAATGCGTATGTGTACCTTATACATCGATTACTTACTTATTTACGTTACGCCTATCAACGGGACATCCTGAAAAGTCTTAAGAGTGTCATGGGGGTGGATTATGATGTATCTACAATTATGGTCCTAAAACTATTTGCATCCGGGCATGATGCGACCAAACGGAGGTCCCTTTCCAGTTCCGCCTGGCAGCAGAGAGCAGTAACAACTATGAAACCGGACGTTAACCTTCTCATAACGATAATTGAAAGTAATACATCCTTTTTAAATGCGTGTACATTTTTGTTTGATTAAATGCCTCTTCCTTTACATATGTATTTATTAATTTGTTTAGTTATGTCATTATATGTTTCCTCTCTTAAATGTGAGAAATAAATTCCTTTAAACACTTATCCTTTCATATTATATTCGAGACACATAGTGTCTTAGGCCAGTGAATTGAATCTTCTTTAAATTAAAATGTGTAAGGACTTTTAAACTAGATTAACAATGTGAAGAAAAAATTGTTTGATTAAAAACAATGTAACTCTATACTCTGCGTGTATGCACTTTTAATACAAAAACTGTCACAAGGCCCATTAACAAGATAGTTAAACCATTGTGTAATTGACAGGTAAATTCCTCCACACCCACAAACTAAAAAGACAAAAAAACAACAACAACAAAACAACAACCACGGAATCAAACCAAACAAAAAAAAAAAAAAAAACAATTTATACAAAGAACAAACAAGTTCTTAAAATTTTTTTTTATAAAAGCTTATGTTTGTTTTATTAGATCTGAAAGGCTCATTTAAAAAGTAAATTAAACAAAAAAAACAAAAAAAAAACAACAACAAAAAAACAACCACGAAATAAAACAAAACAAAAAAAAAAAAAAAACAATTTATACAAAGAACAAACAAGTTCTTAAAATTTTTTTTTATAAAAGCTTATGTTTGTTTTATTAGATCTGAAAGGCTCATTTAAAAAGTAAATACAAGAAAGAGAAAACAAAATGATGTACATGCAGCAACCGTTCGCCCTGTTGTTTTTAATGCAGAACAAGATACGCGTATTCTTTCTTTTCTCAGAACGCACACTAAAACATATGGGGAACGATATTTCTCTTTTATGCCCGTAAACAATGGAATTCAGTCCCAATGCTAATCCGCAATATAACGCCAACCCCAGTCTTCAAAACTGCCACCAAGACCTAATCTCTTCAAACTGCATTATTAATACCGACTCATTTTCAACCATCGTCTCCAAACGGATAAACAAGGCGTGATGCTACTGGGTGCTTTCCATTGCTAGATAGGGATAGATATTACTAGGGTGGGTGAGATCAAGCTGTTCACTAACTTTTTTTTTTGTTTATACGTTTCTATAATTGCTAATTTTTAATGTGAATCCCAGTGAGCCTAGCCCTAGCCTGGGGTAATTCACTATATAAAAAAACCCTAATAATATTAAATAATAATAATAAAGTGGTGATGGTTAGCTAAGCCTATGAGAACTGATTAATTGTTAATCATCATCAGATCATTATCAACCGCGAAGGTAATTTAACAAATCATCAGGTTACTTGATGTAACTAATCACGTGCCTTTTATTTCAATAAGAACTTAACAAACGCAATAAATAACATCCTCATTTATAATACAGGATATCTAGATATGTTTACTGAAGTGTTGATTAATGATCTCAAGTGTTGTTAATACATTATTACACAATTTTTGATTATAGCACAGAAACAAAAAAATAATAAAAAAATTCAACAATGCTGAATTCCCTCATACTTTATATCTATAGCTTCCCATTTTCTCCCCTGATTCTACCTAACCTAAAATTAGAACGCACAATGTTATATTGTCACACTTGTAAATGGTGAAGTAATTATTTCTTTTTAAAATACACTCAGCCGTGCCTGCTAACCCTGACTGCGACTATCCAGTCCTGTCCAACAACTCATCTCAACTCGTGGTCAAGTGCAGGACAGCTTTAGTGTTCCCGGAACTTGTTTGCGACTTTAACATTAGGACAAATGTAAGTCTGGTTGTTCATTCATTATTGATAGGTGCTGCCTATGTGTATATAACGTTTTGGTCAACTCTTATGTAGCAAACACATAATCAGACATAAAAGAACCGCACTAAAAGAAAACACAAATAATTTAAAGTTAAAGAGTTTAAAGAATTGCTTATCGATATTTCAGGATTACTTATTGCAAGTCTCAATCAACAGGATTTGCTTGTTAATGTCACCGGAGAAGTCAGCTACGCAACATCAGTAGATCCGAACTCAAGCCCCGTGGGTTACCTGTCAGAGTGCACACTATACGTCGGCATCCGTCAGCTCGGACCGGGTTCACACGAGTTCCAGGTGGTCATGTCCACAAACAGTTCCTATGACAACAGCACGCGAGTCACCGGAAACTTTACGTCCCCTTATCTACTGAGTGAGTATCCTTTAAATAACGTGAATGCCGGGATGCCTGCTCTACTTAGTTCAAATGGAATACACATCAGCGCACTGTATCCGCCAGTCTTCTTAACCTTGTAATGTTATGATCACTTTTTTTTTTTTGAGCAGCTATTTTTAGGACTTAATTTTGATGTTTAATGCATAAGCAGACATTTTGCGTAATGTTAAACATTGTTATACGAACTCACATTATAGCTTGCATTATGTTTACTCTAAGTAAAGTTGGCATTTTAATGAATTTTTTTATTTAAATTAATGTTTTTTTGTTTGTTGTTATGTCATTATCTTAAAGCAATCCGCAGTTAAGGAAGATTATAGGAACAATGGCGATCACAATAGGTTTTTAAAAAAAGTTATATTTCTCGTCGTATGTTCATCAGTCCTGTCTGCCGAGGAAGGCTCTAAAGCAGAAACGTCTATATATCTGATTGTCTTGTCTTTCGATTCAAGATTCGAGATTACCTTGTTCCGCTATTTTCTTCACACATCAGGAACACATTCCTTTCTTTCTTAAAGTTCGCCTATACAATCACATATTAAAATAACAGATATGCGACGACATCTATTAACGTTTGGATTTTCAAACTTTAAAACTGCAGTGCAAATGCAACAACAACTTTGAATGTTTCTCTCTTTCCTAGCACTGCCCACAGTGCGCCTCAGTGACGATTGCCTCTCATTGGCTAAAAGCCTGTACGCCGAAACCTGGTCGGTGATGTCGTGTACTTGCATTTTAAGCAACAAAGGCTTCCCTCAAGGGTCGATCACGTGGTCGGTCAACCATAAGATACTGTACGTTGATACCGTCCTGGCTCACTTCAGCGATTTCAGTAAGCTGAAAGTCTAGTTAACTGAGGGACGTGTTGTTGTGTGTGTTAAATAATGTACTTTAGGCATACACATTTAATATACTTTGGACATACACATTTAATTTACTTTACAGATACACATTCAATGTACTGTTGACATATACATTGTATACATTTTATTTTTAAACCAACAATAATACAGTTTTCTGGATTTAAAAAAACAAACAAATTTCACCCTTATTTTTTTTAATTGTTATTCCTATATTTTGTGTTAAAAGGATCTGTTGTTTCCCGATTGGGAACTAGATGTAAGAAGCCCCTTTCTAACGTTATTTTTCTCAGAAAGAATGTTACAAGCTCTGTAAATAATTTCTAAATTATGAAATATTTTGTTTCTATAGACTGCTCGATATCAATATAAGGAGAGCGTTGAACGTTTTCATAGATATGTTTTAAATATAGGCGTGAAAACGAACGAACTAAACCTGCTTTAAGATAAATAATGACGGTCTTGTGCAGTATCCGATTGAGATAATTCGTGAAATCCATGTGATAAAGTTGAAATCATTTTTGGACACTTACCAATTACTTGACTGTCAAATTATTATCTACATTGTTAATTGTATGGGTGTAACGATAACAAAAATAAGTTATGATTACATAGGCTCATTAACATAATTATAAAGAATTCATATCGACTCAATAAATAATTAAAATTCCCATGAAAATCACTTGATATTTCTAAACGTCTTGTTGGTCCCTTTATTCCACAGTTAACAACATAACCTATGAATGTAGCCCAATAAGTCCGCTGAAAAACAACATACCTGGAGCACAGCTAAAGATCGAAGTGCCCCGTAAGTGTGATTTTTAGATCGATGAAAAATTAATCAAAGATGAAGATAATAGTGTAAGTATCGTCCACGAATAAATAAAACAATGCCCAAAGACTTAAGAAATGTTTAAAATTTCAACAAAAAAAAAAAAAAAAAGAAAAATCCAAAAAAGAAAAAAAAATACAAAAAAATGAATGTAGCCCAATAAGTCCGCTGAAAAACAACATACCTGGAGCACAGCTAAAGATCGAAGTGCCCCGTAAGTGTGATTTTTAGATAGATGAAAAATTAATCAAAGATGAAGATAATAGTGTAAGTATCGTCCACGAATAAATAAAACAATGCCCAAAGACTTAAGAAATGTTTAAAATTTCAACAAAAAAAAAAAAAAAAGGAAATTTCCAAAAACGAAATAGAAATTCTTAATGAGTGGAAAGCTTTCTAAATTCACAACGTACGTGAAGCATCAAAGAAATAATATGTGGGAAGGAACCAAATCAATCTTAAATCATTATATGAACGTTTTATATTTCTTAACAAGGCGACCCATACATCGCATCTTTTACTGCCAACTCCACGACTACCAACATAACTGCAGCCGTCAATACGTCCATCAACTTCAGGTGTGACGCCGACGGCTTTCCTACACCAGTGATACTCTTTGGGAAAAACGGGTCAGAGTCTATAGCAACAAAGAGTGGGAAGACTATAGCAACTCCTATAAAAGGATGTATGGATGCTGGCTTATATTGCTGCAAGGTGGACAATTCAACCAAAGAGTTCATTACAAGACAGTGTATATCGGTGTATGTCACATGTAGGTATACATTTACACATCATCGTTGCATATCTACCTGGTCAAAAGAGATGTAAGAGTATTATTTCTTTAGTTAGGTAGTATTTTTTTATAATTTTGTTTTCCCATTAGCATAATATTTTAAATCTACATTCAAGTAACAGAGAATACGTTACTTAGTTTCCTGAATGGTTTTTAAGATGTATTTATGCTCTGTTGAATAACTGTTTGTAATTTTTCTTGATACAAATACAGGATTATTATTCCACAAAAGTATAAGCAAGTGACAAGCAAAACATACAGATATAGAATAATATTTTTTTTTTGTATAAAACAGGGCTCTAAAAAAATGTATACTTTCTCTTGCTCCTAGTTATGACAGCGTATCTGAAATGTTACATTAAGAAATGGCGTCAGCGGAGCGAGTCTAGACTGTTATGCCCCCCCCCCCAAATTACCCCTCCCCCGTCCGACGTATCGGGCCGCGGAGCGGCACTTTGGAGATGCCCACTCGTCAGGACGGCCCCCACACGGGCCCCTCACCCAAGTCCCTCGCCTGGGCGCTCGATCAGGACCCCGCTTGGGGGCCGCCCCAACGAGGAGGCGCCCGGTCGATCCGACACTATGCGTTTAAACAGTGCACTCGATCGACTTTCTCTAGGAGTTGGGATGGAAAAATGTACGTCCTAATATCTTCCCCCACCCATCTCGGGAAAGCGTCGGACGCCCTATAAGAGGGATTCCACAGTGGGTTTCCACAACGTGACTAGTACACGCTGTAGCTGGGACGAAACGGTTGCCTAGGGGCAGCGTTCTCACGGCTGCATTATTTGAATCCTCGGCCAGAGGTTACCACCCTCGCCTCTGGCCTCATACCCGTCAACGGCAACTTGTAATCATGATCCCTACCCTGGCTCTGCCTAACTTTCCGACTGCGACAATATCGCAACCGGCAGCCCTGTGGGAGCTGTTTTATGTACAGCAGGTACTGGGGCGTGCCCAGTAGTTATGTTACCAAGCAAACGCCGAGGGGGTCGGTGGCCGACGCTTCCTAATCAGCAAACCACAGCAGACTTGTCAACCGGAAACCTGGAACGACAGCGTATCTACGAATGTCCCTTATTCTACATAGAGTGTATATTATCACATACAATTGCTCCATTTTCGCAGAAGTAATTTTGAAATATGTGTATGTATATCCCATCTATATAGTGACTTCTATGACAATAATTGCAGGTCCACTAGTGCCGCAGAATAACTTTCCAATTAACGTGACGTCACTTCCAGGCAAAGACGTAAACGTGACAATCCCAGTCATGGGCTATCCAGCACCGACACACTACATGTTAACCCGGACAGATCGACAAGGCGAGGTCATTCCCCACACCCTTTTCAGGTTTGATTTCTCTGAAGAGACACCGCCCAATGATGACATTGAACTGACAATTCTGAGAATCCAGGACGCTAATTTCACCGGCTACACTCTACTGTTTGGTAACGGGCTAGGAGTTGACCACAATGTATCTTTTGTTATACACAGAGGTAAGTCTATTGAAACTGCTCTATGCCTTATGTGTTTCTCTAACGATTGATGATAGTTCCTTATTCCTTATTCACATGTTCCTGATTCAAAAGTTTTATTTTAGTTCTCATTTGGAAACGTCATTCATATGATAACGTTGTCCACGTACTCTAAAGATGAAGTAACGGTTTTAAAAAAGTAAGAGTGTTCAAACAAATATAAACAAATGGGGAAATGCCACTCATAATATCAGTATAGAATGATAGGGCTCAAAAATGTTTGGGCAACCGAGCGGCCTACACTGACTCAAGCAAAATAGTTTCAACTCCCACCAAAGCCAAAACAGCCCAAGCGACCCGGTGGAAGGGACTCGTTTGTCCTAGACGGTAACCCATCTAAGAGAAGACATTCTCTGAATTCAAAACCAGGAGCCGAAATGATCAACACACTGATCGTGGGCCCCAAGCTATACAGAAACATATTTAGAAAATAGACAGTCAACTTTTATTATTTTAATAATTAATCTATAATTCATACATTTATCATAATACTTGTTGGTACATTTTTTTTAAATTAAAGATTTTTATAGATGTAATCTGTTTCAGTACAAACACCAGACAGTGATTATGCGACAATTCGAAATATTGCTTTAGGCATTACAGGAGGTGTTGTCGGACTTCTAATAATCGTTGTCATTGTTGTTGTGCTTATGAAAAAAGGTTAGTGATAGATGTCCTGTTACTGTTTATTAAAATATCGAAAGAATTAATCACCATGAGATTACAGAATGTGCTCATTAGACAGGACGTAGTACTTAAAGACTCAAGATAAATTTAGATCTGATGTTTTCTTTCTATCGTTATCTATTTGCGAAAAAAAAATGTTTCTATCCCTATGATGATATTGACTTAATCAATCGTAAGCTTAATTATATCATAAAACATATATTTTTGTACGAATTCTCCACAGGTTCTTTCACAAGATTAAGAAGTAACACCTCAAACTCTGATGTAGAAAAATTCACAAATGTTTATTGAGTCTGTTGTGTACTATTGATACATTAAAATAAACATAATAAAATTATGAAGTTTAAACTATGATTTGCTGTCTCTGATATTCTTTTAACTTGCTTTATTAAACTGCACAGTTGGTACTTTTTAAAGATAAAAAAACAATTCCATTGGTATTTAATCTATGTGTTTTGTTGTCTTGGATCGTCTCAAATAGTGCATTGAGTAAAAAAACAACAACAAACAACAACAAAAAGCAAGATTTGCTGGAATATATGTTTTGTGATCTAAAAGTATAACGCATTATATAGATACGTTTATTTGTGTAAGTAACGATAAGTTTAAGTTTGAACTAAAATAACTATTATAAGATCGCAATTAAATGTGTGTTCATTTTTTTGTTGTTGAAAAAACAAAAAAAACCCAAAGACCTCAAGGAAAATTAATGAAATGTCTAAAAATGTAACATGCACTAAGTTGACGGCTATGTCCATATTAGAAACAATGTAAACAAATCCTGCTAAGAGTCACCTCATAACGAGGAGAAACATTCTGCGATCTACTGTAAGTCGTGACAATGGCTAAAGGTTTACATGGTGTTCACTTAGAAGTTTTCGGTTAACACAGTTCATCTACCCCCTTGGTTGGGTTGTTGTTTTTTGGTTGTTGTTTTTGGGTGTTTTTTTTTATATTCGTTGTACATATTTTGACAGACACTTTGAGCACATGGCAAAATAATTTTTTTTTTTTTAAAAGGGAAGAAACATTTTATTTTTTTAATTTTTAAAAAAGGAACCACGTCCTTTAAAGATTATAAACCAGCATGTTAGAGAGGTTACAAAGTCAACCCACGGGACATAAACCATGTATAATTTGATCCAACTGACGAAGTATTAAACAAAATTCTAAGAGTTTTCACTTAATTTATTGAGCTCGGAATCTTTGTTCATTTCCTTGTGTTTACACAAACCTAAGGATAAAAAGATAAGTATCCATTCAGTACATTTAATAATATGGTTGTTAATAAATGTATTAATTTATATAATTTATTTTTAATATATATATATATATATATATATAAATATATATATATATATATAAATATATATATATTTATTTATTTATATATATATATATATATATTTATAACTGACTTCATAAATACAATTAAGGGTCCTATAATGCAAACAACCAGTCTTAAAATGCATTATTAACTTTTGTAAACGGCTTACCTTTTTTAACAAGAACAATCACGACAACAATTAAAATGATCACCGCTAAGGCTCCACACGAGACACCCATTTCTAAATCCCTTATTTTAGAACCACTGCCACTATTATGTGTTCTCTCTAAAGATAAAACAAAACAAATAAAATATAATAAACATGCGAAATAAAGGGTAAAATCGGGAATATTTATGGATAAGAAGAAATGTATAGGGTGTTAAAGCGGCAAATCAACAAGAAAAAAAAAATTAAACCATTTTATTTTAACTTCTATATTATTGGAGGCGTAGTTTTTTTTTTTTTTAACATTGCATATCCATATCACACAGAGAGTGTTGTTTTTTTCTCTCTTTTCTGGAATACTATTTTATTTAAAGAAGGTGCATTGGGTCCTTGGTTCCATCTTGAACCTATAATACCCTTAATGAAATATGGACTCTACGACACATGTTAATTAAGCGATCGTTGCCTAAAGCGTAATCTTAGAGAATGTTTTCATTTTTTGCTTCTTTCAAGCTTTTCCGAATCCTTTTATTATATTAAAATGTTTTTTCGTTTTATTTGAGATTGCGAAATTGCATTTCTACAAACACACACAAACACGCACTAGCACAAACATACTAACACACAAACACACAGACCAACACACACTCACACACACAATACACAAGAGTGTATTAACGAACCTTTTATAACTGAAAAATATGCATTTTGTTTGTCTCCGACTCCGTTACCGACCGACAACATGTAGTTTGCAAAGTCGCCTGCTTGACGGATGGACATCTCCAACAGGATACTCCCATAGGGTGAGGTCAACTCTGTGTAGGTAACCAGATACCGGCTAGGACTGATGACCTCCCGCCCCGTGCCTGCTGTCTTGCTCAAAACAAACTCATTGGGTGTGGGGTAACCGTAGACCGAGATCGTCAGATTCACTTTATCTCCTTGTCGTGCAATGATAGTTGTGTGTGTGGTATTTTCAAGCACCTGAGGACCTAGATAAATACAATTTGAGACCTAAAGATGTTGTCAAAAATATTTATAAAGGTAAACAAAAAAAGTATTGACGTGTCTTAAATTTAAAAAAAAAATCATTCTATCCCTCACGGAAAAAAAAACAACTAAGTTTAAAAAAACAATTATATATATGATTTTATTTAATCCACACTTATACAAGGTGTATTTAATTACATTTTCGATGTCATTTTAATGCTTAATATCACTATCACTTACACATTTTATGGTGTTTAACAGTTCGAATTTAACTATCAATTTTTTTAATGACTTGTTGTGGTTTAATTTCAAATGAAACATGTATCTTTTTACGTATGTATATTATTTTTTTTAGGGGGGGGGTGGGCGGGTAGGGTGAGTGGGTGGTGGGTGCTGATCGTACAAAACGCCAGTCAATAAAAAATGTTTAATAATTTCAGTTTTGTAAACTTCTATTATGACTTAAACATTCCGAGGGAATTTATACATACTAGATATACCACATATACGTAAATATCCATTATGCTAAAGTTCCTTGACAAAACATGGGCTCAAGTAACGCACATTTAAGAATCAAATGTTTTGCTACACCCTTTCCCCACGTTATACGTCACTGCACACTTTTTATCCCTCGCCCATGAACTATATTAAATATTTTGATGTCCCACCTATTTTAAACCGAATATTTTTGACACCATACTTAAATCTAGACAATTTCATTTCCGAAAAAGTACACATTATGCACCAAACGCAGTTTAAAAAAAAAAAAATCATTTTTAGCGTAGTTTTTGAGAATTATAATTTTCGCACTAGAGAACTCAAAATGGAACCATACTTTCTTTCAAACATATATAATTATTTGTAGTACACTCTAAAAACCAAATACACTGAATAGAATGCTGCCAGACTGTTAGGAAGCAGCTGGAAAAGCATGCAGTCCACGCTTCACACCAGAATCGAATGATATAGCGAGAACCCGGCATGAATTGCTATGCCACTCAAAGAAAACAATAGTGTTTGTGTTTTAATGACGCTTTTTGAAGTAGGTTTTAAAGATAATTTTTTTTTTCCCGTCCGGTGAGTACACAAATAAAAAAGAAGGTTTTTGGAAGCGTGAGCAGGCAACATACAGCTGTGCACGTGAGCAGGCAACATACAGCTGTGCACGTGAGCAGGCAACATACCTCTGTGCACGTGATCAACATGTTTTTTAAAATTTTTTTAAAAATCTAGTCAACATAATTGTAGCGATTGATTCATCCATTCAGTAGTTCTGTTTGAAATTATATTTATATTGGTCACATACATAAAAAATAGGGCCCCCGGCCCCAAACGAACAACTGTAAAATAGTTGTCTTAATTTAGAATCTTTCTTATTATCTCCCAAAGGAAATGAAATGTCGCTTGTATTTGATTTAATTTAATTAACCCATGCAATAACTCGGTTTGAAATTATATTTCTATAGTTCATATAATAAAAAGACAATTTCAAAATGGGAAACAATATTAAGAAACCTTTGCAAGCGGGCGCTTAACAACGGATAAATGTTATAGGAACGCATACGGAAATTATACTCAGCTTATAAAAAAACAAAGGATAATTTATGGCCCCGGGCCAGAACGAAATGATTTACATGTGTGTAGTAATTTAGAAAAAAATTTAGGCATGTGTAAATCAACTCAAAAAAGCTTTCTCGCAATCAGGTGAAGGTATGAGCGCATACGGGACAGACATACATACATTAATTTTGATATAGGTATCGATATAGTTTATCGAATAAAAGATACCTTTGTCGCAAAAATTCATGAAAGCGTTTTGTCTGTGTGTACTTCCATCTATCTGTCCATCTATCTGTCCATCTATCTGTCCATCTATCTGTCCATCTATCTATCAATCTATCAATCCATCTATCTATCCATCAATCCGTCCTTCCATCTATCGATTAATCCTTCCAATAAATATTATCTATCATCTATCTATCTATCTATCTATCTATCTATCTATCTATCTATCTATCTATCTATCTATCTATCTATCTATCTATCTATCTATCTATCTATCTATCTATCTATCTATCTATCTATCTATCTATCT